AGCATAAAATAGTTATAACTGTCTTTACAATTTAAAATGTCAGTACATTGAGAGAAAAAAGTAAATGCATTTATAACACTTCAATTATAATTTGTTGTCATTTTCTGTGACAACTATATATATTTTTTAGTAAGACTGTAAATGTAACTATTACTAACATTACAGCAGTACTAAATAAACTATAAAAATGAAGCTCTTAATCACAATTATTTTACATATAATTATAAATACTTTTCAGTATAATTTTTCAAAGATCTTTAAATGTACTTTTTAAATAATCTTCAGGATAGTGTCCATCCTAACTGTGTTTGTGAATAAAGCACTCCTGTCGAGCGATACTGTGAATTTGGATGCTCCTCTATTTGTAACTTGGTTTCAATGTATAGTGAGTGTAGCTATCTGTATTACTTTACGTAAAATGTCTCAATGGTTCCCAGATTGCATTGAAATTGCAGAAGGTAATCCGTTTAAAAAGGATACTTTGAAAAAGGTATGAAACTTGCTTTAGGAATATTATTATAGTGTTTTTTTTTTTTTCATTTACAAACTATCAGAAACGAATTATTTCAATTTTGAGGAAAATCTTTGTATAAAGATTGTTTATACTTTAAATTAAAAGATAAACATTTCAATGTAAATTTAACAAAGCATTGTAACTTTGAATTAAAATGTCTGAAAGAATGTGGCTTCAAATCTTGTAATTTCTTTCTGTTTTTGTATCTTTACATAAATATTGCTTACACTTTAAATTGACAAATAAACATTCAATAAATTTAATTTAAAAAAAGATAAATTCTGAATTAGTATATTAAAAAATGGCTATAAATCTTGTAATTTCTTTCCTACTGTTTTTATAATTTTTTAATAAATTGTATCTCTGATTGTATCTTTGTATAAAAATTGCTTACATTTTAAATTAAGAGGTAAACATTGAGTAAACAAATTTAACGATAAAAATATGAATTCTGAATTAGAATGTATAAAAGAATGTGACTTTAAATCTTGTAATTTCTCTCTAACAGTTTTTTATCTATGTGAAAATAATATAAAATGTCTATATATATATATATATTTTTTTAATTTTTACAGGTATTGCCATTGTCAATCCTGTTTACTGCAATGATAGCGACTAATAACTTATGCCTGAAATACGTCGACGTGGCATTTTACTACGTGGGCCGTTCGCTAACAACAGTATTTAATGTCGTGTTTACCTACCTTTTACTCGGTGAGATTCCCGCACAGACAAATGCCAGTTAAACTGAAAAACGATCTCCGAGAAACTAATTAGCTCAACTTGCAGGACAAACGACATCTCTCAAATGCGTAGCATGCTGCGCAGCGATTATCGCTGGGTTCTGGTTAGGGGTAGATCAGGAACATGTAGCGGGTTCTCTGTCGGTCCTCGGAACACTTTTCGGCGTGCTTGGATCGCTGTCGTTGTCCTTATATTCTATCCGTATGAAACAGACGCTTCCGGTCGTGAATCAGGATATCTGGTTACTCTCCTACTACAACAACGTGTACAGCATTGTCATCTTCGTTCCGTTAATGATAATCAGCGGCGAGCACGCGACTGTATATAATTACGAGAAGCTTGGACATCCCTTCTTTTGGGGTGCCATGACAATCGGCGGGGTATTCGGCTTCGCCATCGGATATTTCACCGCCCTTCAGATAAAAGTCACGTCGCCTCTGACGCACAACGTTAGCGGTACCGCGAAGGCGTGCGCCCAAACGGTTTTAGCGACCTATTGGTTCAACGGGGAGAAATCGTTTCTTTGGTGGATAAGCAACGTCGTCGTCCTGGCTGCCAGCGCGTCTTACGCGAGGATCAGGCAACTGGAGTTGAGTAGAGAATACAAAGCCGAGACGCATCAGCTTAAAGTGTAACAATGTGTGATAAGGTACAACAAATTTTTATATTTAAAATGTTCAAAATGTATATTTAAAATTCTAGACAAGCGTGTATATAAATATTCTCTTATAAATTAAAAACTACGTAAATTAGCTCGTGTTTAAAAAAATAAATAAGAAATTTTAACTCGACAAGGAACGAGCAAGGTATGATGTGGCGTGAAATCACAAGATCATAATATTATAAAAACTTAAAATATTTAATGTCAAATAAAACACATAAATTGTGTTTAAATATTTTAAATTTTTATAATTATAAAAATTTGAAATCACAAGATCATAATATTATAAAAACTTAAAATATTTA